GACAAGTGTTTCTTGATTAGCTTGTCTTCATTTTTATTTTTATTTTGGTTTTAATTTCTTAATTGTTTCCTTCTTATTGTTTGTTTTAATGGGGTTGGTGTGGGGGGGGGGGGGGGGNGAGGGAGATTGGTGTGGGGGGGGGGGGGGGGGGTTTATAATCTATGAAATCAAGCTAATTCTGGGAATTTTTAGGGTACCCTTGCAAGAGAATGGAACATTTTATCGCGAAGTTCATGAACTCTAAGATGAATGTTGCATTTTGTGAAGCATTGTACAATTAATGATATGATAAATATTAAAAGAACGTTCTTATCGGAGTAGATTGTTCAACTGTGATTGAAATAATAGCTTTAGTAGCATTGCCAGTGAGGACCTTCAAATGAATTATGCTGGGACGAACCTTGAGAGCAATCTGAATCTATGTTTTCACAGTTTGAATCCGTTTCTGATGTCTACATATATTCTGCATTATGTCTTCTTAAATTAATTTCTCTCATTAATATAAATTTCAGTTATTACTTCAATGATTCGATTGGTCCTATCTCATGGTGGAGAGTTTAGACATGATGATAACTCGTGGACTTGGAATGGAACGAAGACCACATCTCTTCTGGTAAAAAGAAATATAAAATACAGAGAACTGCTCGATAAAGTGATAGAGCTTCTCCAAGTTGATTGTAGTCTTTTCAAGATTGTGATGAAGTTTAAAGTCCCAGGAATGTCCGATATGTCTATTCCTCCAGCCGAGATATGCAAGGACGATGATGTTGATTGGTATATTTCAGTATACCAGCAAACCCCACTGTGCATTAGTACTATAAGAATAATTACAATGGAGTCAACACAAGTTGTTGAAGTGGGAACTAATCAAATAGCTGTTGAGGCCCCTAAGATAGAATGGTCACGTGAGCCTGTTTCAGATGCACATTTTAACCAACATTTCAACAATGAAGGAAATTTCAATGCATTTAATTCAGCTGATCACAATTGTGCCCTAGAACCTGGTCCAGTGAATCAGCTATGCAACAACGATGATGTCCACGGTGGTATTGAGGATGATTGCATGATTGGAGTGGATATTATATCTGATAACCACGATGGTGCTCATGAATCTGCAGATCATGCTTCTATTGACAGTACACCTAGTGCTGCCCAGGTTGGCAGCACAGGTGGTAGTGGTATCCCATTTGATACTACTGTTGAATCAGGTATTGACACTGGAGATGTTCAGGTCAACAAACTGTACAAGAGTAAGAAAGAGTTGCAAACAAAGTTGCATATGCTTGCACTAAGAAAAAATTTTGAGTTCAAGGTAAAGAAGTCGAATAAGAATATTTTTACAGTGATTTGTATCAACGATGACTGCCAATGGCGTTTGAGGGCAACAAAGCTCAGGGAGTCAAACTTTTTCTTAGTTCGGAAATTTTCATGTCAACATACATGTTCTTCAGATTTTGGGCATAATAGCCATCGGCAAGCTAGCAGCTGGGTTATTGGACGACACATAATGCAGAAGTTGCGTGATCCAAACCAATCATTGAAACCCGCTAGCATCATTGACGTCATACGTCAAGAGTTTGGTATCAATATAAGTTACCAAAAGGCACGAAAGGCTGTGGAGCATGCTCTTGAGCTTATTAGGGGCTCACCGGAGGAAAGTTACGAGAAACTGGCCTCATATTGCTACATTCTAGAGAAGAATAACCCTGGCACAACTACGTGCATTGAGACTGACAGTGAGAACCGTTTCATGTACTTCTTCTTGGCATTTGGTCCAAGTATCCGGGGTTTCCATTCATATATGCGTCCTGTTGTGTGTGTTAATAGTACTTATTTAAAATCTAAGTACCGTGGGACTTTGCTTAGTGCCACGTGTCAAGATGGCAACATACAAATGTACCCTATAGCATGGGGTATAGTGGAATCTGAGAATGATGCATCATGGCTGTGGTTTATGTCGAAGTTACGAGAGCAAATTGGTGAGTCTGACCAACTCGTGTTCATTTCTGATCAAAATAACACCATTGCTAGGGCGATAAAAACTGCATTTCCACAATCTCATCATGGGTATTGTATGGGGCACATGGAAAATAACATAAAGTCAAAGTTTCACTCAACTGGGATCTTGTCCTTGTTCAAGTCAGCAGCTCAAGCATATTTTGTATCAGAGTTTCAGAGCTTAATTGCAGATATTTGCAGGAAGAATGAAACTGTTGGCACATACTTGGAGGATACAGGTTTTGAGTACTGGTCTCGAGCACACTTTAAAGGCAATCGTTACAACATTATGAAAATAAATAACGTCGAGTCCTTGAACTCATTGCTGAGGCACCAGCGAGATTATCCAATTACTGCATTGATAGAACATATTCGAACATTTATGCAACAATGGTTTTTTGAGAAACGCACTGAAGCAGAAGAGTGCATGACCCTGTTGACCCCAAGACTAGAGGATGATTTCCGCAAAAAGATTGATGCAGCAGCAGTGTTACAAGTGCAGCCGGTAACACTTCATGAGTTTCACGTCGGTATGGACACAAATATGCATGTTGTGAACCTTGCAGAGAAGTCTTGCACTTGCAAGGAGTTTGACTTATTACAACTTCCATGTGAGCATGCACTTGTGGTTGCAAGGTTGAGAGGGGTATCACTCGACACATTGTGCTCCCCATATTACACAACTGTCTGCTGGAGAGAAGCTTACGCGGAACCAATATATCCAGTAGATAACGAAAAAGACTGGCAGATTCCAGAGGAAGTCCGAACAAGGGTTATCTTACCTCCATCCACGCGGTGACCTTATAGATAACCAAAAAGAAAAAGGTAAGGTGGATTGTCATGACAATAGAAACTCTTCTCATTAAAACCATAAAGCACAATCAAAATAGTTCTTGTTCTCGATGAATGCTTAGCTTTCGTGAATGCATATTTTAGTTGTTGGGTGACCTTATCGATATTTAGAAAAAAAATGAAAAATTCTCATGTTCTAGATTTACCTTTACTTTTGTGGCATTCTATCACTAGCCATTAGTTTCTTCCCGGCCATTGGAGAATTTAGCTTGAATGTATTCCAATTAACCAGAAGCACTGCAAAGAAATCATGCTTGCTTTTTGTTGATTTTGAAACACATCTAGTATGTATACTTGTCTACGGGGTGATCTAAAGGACTAGCTGCTAGACTTTTTGTTTGTATATACGGGCCAATTGCACTTATATGTGATTTACCTCTATTAATGAATGGACAGAAGCTGTTTGGCTAATAAATCTAATCACACTGGTAGCAAATAATTTATTGACGTGCTATGCCTTAGTCACACAATGTCTTGGCGTAGCCAATGGCACCAAGTTGTTTGGAATTTTGCAGCATACAAACACGAGATTTGATGGCACCTAAAGAGTTCTGATTGAGATTTATTGCAATATTACCACTGGACTTGATTTTCTTGAATTTTTCCAAAGCTTGGTGTAATTGTATTTCATTTTCTAATGTCACTTATTGTCTTCGCTGGAAACCTAACACCGTATTCATGGAAATTCATGCAGATATCACTGTTCGTAAGAATAAGTCTTAATTTACAGTCTTGTGTACATTAAGACTTACACTCAACTCCTCTCACAATGGAGTGTGGGGTCCGCGTTTTTTTAAATTGCAGGCCCACACCATTGTGAGAGGAGTGTAATGCACGATGTACACCCAAGTGTGTACATCAAGCATTGCTCCTGTTCGTAAATATAACTCAATTTTCAAAAGTTTTATATTTCCTTTTTCATATTGCAGAAGTTTGCACTTGTTCTTTTGTATAGAAACTTCCTCTTCTGAATCCTAATGTGTGCATCGTCATTTCTTTGTTTTGTAGACCACAGCAGTATGCTTTGGCTCGGTCCCCCCCTGTAAAGCAGTTGTTGATTACTAAATTGAGAGATCAGTGCTGTATTTGCAGTCATGGGGGAAGAAGGTAAGGGGGGTGGGGTTAGGTGAATTAGAGAATTCTGTAACTGGTAATGTTGCATATATTTTGTACCAGAAAGTAGCAGTTTTTATGATAAATCACAGCATCACATTTTGTTTTGTCACATTGATGAAGCCCTTTTTGATATTGTACATATTAATCTTGTAGAATTGATGAAACTTTTTACTATGATTTATTATTTGTGAATATTGAAAATTGCAGTTGGGGGGTTATTCTTTGCTGCATGCAAAAATGTGTTTATTAGCATTATTCACAGACAAAGAATGAACTGCTGAATTATCAGTAGAAATGCTTTGCTAGAAATTAATTTCTGAGAAGAATTTCAATGATTTCAAAACCCAAAAGGAATTATGTTCAACCGTCGGAATTTAAGAAAACTAGGATAATTTTTTTCGAAAAATGAGTGATTGAAAAGTAAAAGAAAAAATATTTATTTTTCCCGGAAAGGGAAGTCGATTTCAACAAAAATGAATTTATCATCCAATATTTGTTTCTGATATTTCTTTTCGTGTGTTGTAACTTTTCTTATCCCTCAAGCATAATGAAGGCATAAATTTGAAGGCGAATCATGCGTTTTAGATTGCTTGCCTAGATATGGTTACATTTTAATAGGGACGGGGTTGCTAATTTATGAAAAGTTGGAGATAATTATGTCATAAATTAAAGGTTGAGGGTAGAAGTGCAAAAGATTAAAGATTTTTACAATAAAAAGAATTATTATTTCGTGAAAATTCTCAAGAAAGAAAGGAACGTGGGCAATCTTTCTCTGTTCAAAGGAATGGAGCTCCGCTTTGACCCGACAACGCAACAAGTCCGACTGAAGCGGACCCACCTTGAACCGAACCCGGGAAAAAAAATCTGCAGATTCACGTTCACATTCTACTGTTCAACTTCCTTCTTCCTTCTTCCAACCTCCCTTTGTAACTCCATTTGCTTGTGTATATATATATACACGTATCATTTGTGTATTTTTATTTGAATATAAATTGTAAAGTTATATAGAAAGAGAGAGAGGAGCCACAGGATTCATGGATTCTTTGCCATCAGTTTCACCATCTATAGTAACTCCGATCCACCATCACCGGAGGCGGCGGCAAATTACTTTTTCCTCGACATACATCAAACCGGTTAACAACCTTGGTGTTTCTTCCGTGTCTAGCTTTTTAGACCCGAGAGAATCATTTAAAAGAAAACAAAAGGTCGCAGTTTCGTGTCAATTGAGTGAAGGAAATGAGAGGGAAGATGAAAATGATAAGAGAGATGAGGAGTTGGAGAGGGCGCTGCGCATGGACGGTACGATTCCGGGGAGTTCTATCGAGTTTGTGAAGCAAGTGTCATCACGCGCTTACGACATGCGTAGGCATCTTCAGCAGAGTTTTGATAGCAGTAGCTACGATGGTAAGGTCTCTCCTTTTTATATAATTATAAACTTAGTACCCGGATTTCAAGCTTTGTGCATTTTTGTCCAGCTGCTGCGTTAATTTAGAGTAGGGTAAAGAAGAGCAAAGGATGCGTTCACATTTATACACCTTAGCGCCTGTTTGGTTTTGTTAAAAATCATATTTTTTTTTAGATTTTGATAAAAGTCGATGAAAAATGTGATTGAAAAGTTGACAAAAGTTTGGATCTCATCAAATGTGTGATTGAAAATGAGTTTCAAAAAATGGTGGCAAAAGAGGGGCTTATGGACTTTGGATATGCTTTAGCTTCATCTTGGACTTTGGATTTCTGCGAAGTATGTGAAATTACATTATTAAACATGCATCTGATACTTAATGCAAGGCCATTTAGTAATATACTTCCATTACATTCAGATATTACTACTTTTCATTCGCTTATAGATGAATATTTCATTCTCAATTAGAGACTTCTGTCCTTTTCTATCCATAAGTGTCCTGTGAGGCCTTGAATGAAGCTACCTCTCTTTAGAGTGGTATGTTCCCATGCTACATAAATATTATCCTGCTATAGTGTCCGGCTTCTGTCATTTTCTTGCCATAAATATTTCAGTCCCAGTTGTTGAAGCCCGGACAATCCTCTTTGGGTAGTGTGTCAGTGTGCCACTCATATTGGACATTTACACTCTTCGGACATCCAGGAAACATGTTTGACATGTCTTGATAACAAGCGAGGGACATTTTTACAAGTATTCCTGGTGATAGAGATTTATTTTTTGCCCAATTTGACTACACATTTTTGTCTTTTATGCGTATAGTAATTGAAAAGCTTAAGCCATTAAGTATCACGTCTAATGTGTATCCCAAAATGCCACTATTCTCAAAACAACTTGGAGCCGGGCCTTCTTTTCGCCCCCAGCTGGAATGTGCCTGCAAGCTATTTTTAGTGACGCCAAAAGATAAGTTTCTGGTTTTGCAAGACTCCCAACACTTAACTTCTTTTGTATGTTCTCTATGCAGTATTGGAGGCCGACCCTTGGAGGGAGAAATCTAAATCCGTGTATGTACTTACTCACAGGGAAAACCAGTTATGTACGATGAAAACTCGTAGAAATCGCAGGTGCGTTGAGGTTCAAGTGTAATTTTTTTTTTTTTATTGTTAAAGTATTCTCTCTTTACTTGCTCAGAGTTTGTTCTTAATACAGTGAAGTAGAAACAGAGCTCGGACGCCTATTTTCTAATAGGGGAAAGTGGAGAAATCAGTCCAAGCAGTCAGGAGTTAGCACTAAATTTCAGATGCTTGTTGAGGACATCCAAGAGGGTGTGCTTGTAAGTTTTGACTAGCGTTCTTAATTAATGTTTGACCTCTTTCATTCGATATCCCTAGGCTTTATCTGTATATTTGAACTTTTAACTTCTATTCTTTCCCTGATCTACTAGTTGCGACTTGCAAGTATTTATTCATTGACAACTTTGTATTTGATGAAGGTATTCGAAGATGAAAATGAAGCTGCAAGATACTGCGATTTGCTTCAAGGAGGAGGTCAAGATTGTGAAGGTGTTGTCGAGATAGATGCCTCATCTGTAAGAAGCTGGATTTCGTGTGTAAATCCGCCCCTACTTGTTAATGTTTTCTAATGTGTATCAAAATTTCTCTGTAGGTTTTCGATCTGTGCTCTAAGAATAGGGCGCTAGCAGTTTTGTTCCGTAGGGGAATAACACCCCCTCGACCTGAAAGCCTTAAGCTTAACTTATGGGCACGCAAGCGCTCCCTTGAAGACCAAGAGGATTTCATATGAAACCCAGCCTGGAACTCAGGCAATATAATTAACTGATGATATTGTCATATAATTTCTTCTGCAATAAACAATGCAATCAAGAAATTGCATATAAAACCTCTTTTGAAGTTTTTATCATTTGTTATGTACATGAGTTTAAACCAACAGCTCCTTGATGAAGAATTTAGGTTGGGAGTATTAGCATACTACCGAGGATGGAAATGTAATGTGCGGCCTGCCCTGGGACTTGTTTTGGGCCAGCTCTGCTGCCAATGCAGATCCACTCACTTGGGCTTTTAAAACAGTATTTTCTTTTGAAAAATCTGTTGGGCCCGATTGCCTGCCCCGCACCGGCTTGGCAATTGGTTGTTCGTGGCCTCTGTTTTTGACAGGCTGGCTTAAAACCACTAAAAGATGAGGGTCGAGTCCAACTGGACTGTGATTTGTCTTACACTGACTAACAAAGGGCACAATATCTGGGCTATTCATAAATTTTGGCCCATGGATATGTAAAACATCATTGCTAGGGGTTGAATTAGATATTTAAACAAGGGAACTTTACATACGTAAAGTCGTTGCAAAATACAATTTTAAAATTAAGAAATCAGGTTGTAATTAAATTTTATTAATTAGATAAATAATTAAATATGTTCAAGGTCACGATTATACAATTTATGACCACAATTACATACTTATAGGTCACGACTTATTTGTCGGTCACATATTATTAAATTAATTGGTCAAACATTATTTTTTGGTCACAAATCAAAATGTTTATAGGTCAATTTATTCATTGGTCGCAAATCACGAATTTTGTAAGTCACAACTTATTTTACAATCACAAATTATCAAATTAATTGGTGACAAGTTAATTCTAAATCACCAATTATCAAATTAATTGATCGCAACTTACCAAATTTTGAGTCACGATTATAAATTTAGTCACGAAAATAGTTTTTAGGTCTCATATTATTTATTGATCACAGATTAATCAATTTATTGGTCATAACACTCAAATAATTGATCACAAACACTTTTTAATTTTTCGTCATTGCTGCCGTCACTACCACCACAACACCAATACCAGCACTACCAACACCACCACTAGTAACAACACCCCGAATCTAAATTCTCCTAGGCGCACATCCCACGCTTGACACTGCGCGAACGACAACGGAAGTGGTGCTGCTAGATATCATTAATTAATATTTTTAATTACACATTTTATTAAATTCACAAATTTTATATACTTTTAACGGGATCGTCAACTTATAATTTCAAGAAGCTTTATCAAATAGAGGCTTAATTTTATTTTTCTCATATTCAATCCGACGTATTAAACACATCCATACTCATAAATTGAAACCTTCCCAAATATGAAGGCAGCCAAATTGAACGGCCGACTTTGACATTTAGAGGCATAATCCTCAGAATCTGGGATTTTCTTTTCCTTGCCACTGGTGGGCCACTTCAATAAATATTTTATACCCTCTCTTTTTTTTTTTGATACTTAGGTATCCCAATTTAGCCAGACTATATCCCGAACCCCTAGCCACTAGCCCCTCAGCAGCTCGAGAAAGTAAATCGCGAGTTATGCTCTTATTGACTCTCAGTTTCCTGCATGGCTTTAACTCATGGCCCTAAGAGAGTCTTCATCACCGCCTTCCACAATTCATGCCTTCCACGTAATGTATATTTTATACCCCTTTTTAATCCTAGTTAAAGTAGCAAAGCCAATTTTTGGCTTTTGCGTGAAGGATTCACATGATAAGTTATCAAGAAAAAGACTTGTTAATACGCGCACCGCAGCAATTATTGAGAATTTTTTCGGGGGAGATTTTCTGAAAATTATTTTTAATTACATATTTTATGGGATCTAAAATTTTTCCTTTTGAACTACACATTATCCAAAATTATATTTACTTGGAAAAACCTCTCCCAAACAAGCTTCGATTAATTACAAGAATAAAAATCCTTTTTAATCAGATATTTTATGAGATCTACAATGTTTTTTTTCTTTTCTTTTTAACCACGCGTCATTCAAAATAAGGCTTAAGATCCTCCTCATCGTCATTACATATCCCAAATATAGTAAACGAAAACTCAAAATTTATACATATTTTAGAAAATTTCAAAAAAATGTCGTCGCCACCTCGAGTCCCTTGGCCACTGAATGTGATAGGTATTGTGTAAGTAGAAGGCTGAAGAAGAAGCAAATACAAGTCTTCTAGCTACTATCGTGTTCACTAGTCGATAAAATCTATTACAGATGTTTACATGTGATAATTTTTTTTTTGATCAAGTAGAGAGAATCTAGTTGCGACATATCCTTAATGTTGGACAACGATTGCCTCCTTTCTTTTGTCAAAACTTTTCTAGCATCTCTAGTCGCGACATATCCTTAATGTTGGACAACGATTGCCTCCTTTCTTTTGTCAAAACTTTTCCAGCATCTCTAGTCGCGACGTATAACGATTTTTTTGATCTTGACATGTTGATGACATTGATCCTCTTTAATTTATTTTATGGTATGCTATTATGCCATTTTCAACCATATATCGCACAATAAAATATTCTATACGTAAATAAAAAATTTCTCTCTACTTTTTAACCATACATTCTCTTAAAAATCACTATTAAAAACTATTTTTTTCTTTCTACCAAAATAGTTGTCAAGACTCTGAATTAGGGTTCTTTGTAGTTGATCGTGTTAGTATGTTACTATTAAATAAATTGATTGGTCTTATTTAAATCCTATGCTTTGTGTGTGTATATTTTTTGATAGAGCTTTGTGTATATTTTGGGTTAAATTCATCAATAGCCACCCAATTTTATATTTAGTATCATTATGGACATCTAATTTGATTTTGTTTCATTATGACCACATAACTTTATATTTAATGTCACCATGACCACCTAACTTCTTTTTACTAATTTTAAAGGGGTAAAATAATAACTTTGCATTATATATATAAATAAATTTTTATTTTATTTTATTTTTAAGGAACTTTATTTTAAAAATAACTCTTTATTTTATTTTATTTTTCTAAATAAAGTTTTTTTTTTCAAAATAAGTTTTTATTTTATTTTATTTTTTTAAGTAACTTTTGTTTTAAAATAATTTTTTATTATATTTTTTTTGGAAAAAAAGGTTTTTATTTTATTTTTGTTTTTTAAAGTTTATTTTATATATATAATAGTATAATACAAAAGTTACCGTTTTACCCCTTTTAAAATTATTGAAAATGGTGAAAGGAAGTTGAGTGATAATGGTGAAATATTATATGAAATTTGGTGGTCATAGTGAAATAAAATCAAATTGGGTGACTATGATGATACTAAATATAAAGTTGGGTGACAATGATGAAACAAAATCAAATTGGATAACCATGACAATAATAAGTATAAAGTTGGGTGGCCATGGGTGAATTTAACCCTTATATTTTTGATAAATGATTTATAATTAAATAATAAATAAAGAAAAAGGCAAAATATATTTATGGTGCGCTTAATTGTTAGTATGAAACTTGTATGTAAATAAAATAAATTTCAGGGAATTTAATTTTTTAAAATTTATTTGTATGAAAATTATAAATCAAATGTGTTCGATTGATTTAGTTTTTAATTTATAAATATTATACTTGTCCATTTTTTATGGGTACGTAAATAAGACTATAAGAGTGAATAGATGAGAGAAAGAAGATAAGAGTCAATCACCTGAAAAGTAAAAGTCAACCACTTCCTAAAAAAATATTTTCCTTATTTTTGAAAAAAAATATGATCATGTGACCAAATAGGGATGGCAACGGGACGGGACGGGACGGGACGGGACGGGGCGGGGCTCGGGCTCGTCCTCGCCCCGTTACCCGTTTAAGGCGAGGTGGGGAGGGGTCATTGCCACGTTTACTACCCATTTAAATTTTTTTTTTTTTGATAATTTAATTTTATTGTTCATATTCATTAGATTTAGACAAATAATTTTAGTTGCTATTTTCTATTAGAATTAATGAAATTTTGTAAAAAATTTCATTGAAAGTATTGAATTTTAAAAATAATAAAAAAAATTTAACGGGACGGGATGATGCGCCCGTTACCCTTTCCCGCCCTGTCACCCGATTAGGCGGGTTATCCCTGTTCCGTTCGGAATGGCCCCGCGGATATCGAGTTTATCAGATTTTTTTGCCATCTCTATGACCAAAAGTTAAAAAATATATTTTACGAAAAAAAATTGTCAATCAAATATCCCAAAAGTACGAATTTGGGTGAAAAAAAAAGAAGACATTTTCCATAAAAAAATAATTAATTATTTTATTTTTGGCGTTTCCCATTTCGTTGGTTCACTAAAGTAAATATTCACGGTTTTTCAGTTGCCAATTAAAACACGCGCGAGAGTGCCAAAGCAAACTGCCAGAGCGACATCGAGGAATTCGGATCCGATTAATCCATCAAATGAGCGGCAGCGAGGGGAGCTCAGGGAATTCAGCGGCGAGTGGCGTCGGAGGGGAAGGACATCCACCGTCCTCGGCAGATAAGGAGAAGAAGAAGGAGAAGGCGCGAGTGAGCAGGACTTCTCTAATACTGTGGCACGCGCACCAGAATGATGCGGCGGCGGTGAGGAAGCTCCTTGAGGAGGATCGATCTCTGGTACAAGCCAGAGACTACGACAGCCGCACTTCGCTTCATGTGGCTGCGCTCCATGGCTGGATCGACGTTGCCAAGTGCCTCCTTGAGTATGAAGCTGACGTCAACGCACAAGATCGCTGGAAAAACACAGTAATTTCTTCATCATTTATATCATATACTTACATGTGTAATGATTTGATGGCTATATAAGTGATGATTGAATGATTTTGTGTGCGTAATTCGACAAGTTGGTCTGTCACTGTAAATTGTTATAGCACTCTTTTTCATTCAGATGCATTTTTTCCTGGAATTTTCTATTCTTAGTGTGTACTTGTAACGAGTTGCTATTGGCTTTTCTTACTGTAATTTTAGATGCATTTAAAATAATATGGAGAGGA